GCACAAGACTGCAGGGACCTGGTGTCCTTTGGGATTGAAAAGAGCAAAGGTGACCATGACCCCTGGCAAGCGAGGAACTTAGAAAGGCTTCCCAGACCGGAACTCAGAGTTTGGGGGAACACTCAGCTTTTCCTCCCACGGCTGAGGACAGAGACACCAGAGAGGCACAAATGTGCTAACAACAGAAGAAGCCAGCAGTGTGGACAGTTAACCAAGCTCTAAAAGGCACCTGGAGTTAATGGCATCCAACAAAGCACCCCTGTGACAACTGCGACAAACCCCGAGAGACGAAGGTGGCTAGAGAAGCAGCCAAAGGTGGCTCCACAACAATACGACCTCTGCGCAGCCTCTGGGACGCCGGGCTCACCACATGCCATGCTCGGAGAGTTTCAAATGCCTCTTTTGTTGATAGAGAGGACAGCCATGCCAGCTTGGCAGCTGGCATAAACAGTGCAGAGCTGGACTGAAGCCAAGATGTAGCCTGTGCATCAGCTCCGGCTTTGGAAAACAAGTTCTCAATCGATGATTTCGCAGGGTAAAAAGCAAAGACACAAGGCCGCCTTGAACACCTGGCAGAGCACACCACCCAGTGAAGCCCGTGCTGTTTCAGGTCATCGGCGACCTCTAGTTAGGGGAGACTTTTGCAAAACGGGGGTTCATGTAATTGAAAAACGACAAAACTACTCGGCCCATCCCCAGCCAAAGTGGGCGCACTCATAAAACAGAAAGCCCTCCGCAGAGAGCCATGCTTTCCCATTAACCTGTGACTTGGAGGATCAGGACTGTTTGAGGCCCATGGACTCCCAGCTGCAGCAGCTTCCAGGGGACAGACCTGGGGGGAAAGGCAGCTGAGGCTGCTTCAGGAGAGTCCCGAGGTGGCTGAAGTGTAGGGGTTATCTGCAGGGGAAAGACCCCAGGAACAGCAGGCACCCCACAAGGAGGGAGGAGAGGGGACTCGGACTGGGGCTGGGAGGGGTAGTGGTTTGCAAAGCACCCTTGGGGACAGGCCTCTGGTCCTGCTGCCTGGAGTCACCGACAGCCACACGAGCTGTGCAACAGCCGCTGCACACCGATGCTGGCCCAGAGGCAGCTGGAGCTTAGTAACTCACAGGGAAGTGGATGGGCTGGGGTCCCTTCCAACACCTACTGACAGAGCGTGAGATTTAAGATACTGCCCAGAATTCGCAGCCCAGGATCAAGCTATTTAGACACTAGCAAAGAATCCTCCTACATTTAGAGACGAGTAGTCACCAGGAAGCCAGAGGTGAACCAGGCAGTTAAGAGATGATATAACCGAGCCTGGGGTGGTGGTGCACATATGTGCCTGGCTGAGGCAGGAGGATCTCAAGGCCAAGGCCAGCAGGTTAGCAGGCCCTGTCTCAAAATAAACAAAAGAAAAGGGCTGAGAGTGAGTGAAATGTGGCCTGTAATCCTAGTACTCTGAAAGGCTAAGGCAAGAGGACCCCAATTTTGAGGCCAACCTGGGCAATTTATCAAGCCCTGTCACAAAAATGGGCAGGGGGCAGCGAATGCTGGGAATGAGTGGGCATGGTGGCACAGAACTGCAATTCCAGCATTCTGGGAGGCTGATACAGGAGGATCACCACTTCAGGTTCAGCCTGAAACCTTGTCTGTAGTTATAAAACAGAAAAGGAGATGAAAACAGAGCTCAGCGTAGAGGTCCTTGGCTCCAGTCTCTTTTGAAAGCATGGATCCCAGTGTGTATTAGCTTCATACAGTGGCTCCAACAGAGGTGTTTGCTCGGGAACCACTGCTCACTGTAATAGGGAGGGCAGCGGGTGGGCACAGGACACTGGGGAGCACGAGGCAGCAGATGACACCTAGGACTGATTATTCCCCTAGCCGGTCCCTGACAGCTCAGAAATAAAATGCCCTGAGCTTCTGTCCCCTGCCATGCAGCCAGCAGACAGCATTCATCTGCTTTGCCCTGGTCGTCCAGCAGGATGCTAAATATACGCAGAGACACAAAAGCAAGGGTTCTTTTCCTCCTGTGGAGCATCTTCTGGGACATAAGAGGCCCAGGCTTGCTCCATCCTCCTGCTTGCTTCCACCAACCCGAAGCACTACTGTCTCTGGGAACCCTGGCCTTGCAGGTCAAGGGGAGCTATTAATTCTGTGGGGACCAGATCATGACCCCAGTCCCAGGGCCATGAGGTCTGGCAATGCTTAATCCCCTAAGTCCTGTGATTCAGACAAGGCTCTGGAGGCCAATGTGTCTTGACCTCACGATTGCATTTTGATGGGGAAGAGAAACACATTGCTGCACAAGTCCCATGGGGGAAGAAGCCCCACTCAGGGGAGCGAACAGACAGGCAGCTGGCATTGAGTATGAAGGGACTGAGGCCGGGCACAAGGTTTGTGAGCCAATTCCCACAGGGGAAAGGACCTTTGCGACAAGGCCTGGCAGTCAAGGAGGCAAGGCTGGGTCCTGGTTAGTTAGCCAAAACTTTTCTCTTGCAACCATCCAGCTGTCATTCAGATTACTAACCACTTCCTGGAAAACTCCAAAGCCTGTGTGTCCAGGGAGCCACCATCTGCTCTTTTACCCTTGACCACAAATACAAACACCCCATATTCCCCCAAAGAGCTGATGGAGTTAGGCCAGGGAGGAGAAACTAAACTTGGAGATGAGCTTGGGTGGGACCCAGGAAGAAGGAAATCCAAAGGTGATACAAAGCCATGCAGCAACACAGGAACATCTGATGTGACCAGGCTGAGACCTAAAGATTCTGGCTGTCTGCCATAGTAGAAGCTGCTGCACAAAACAAAACTCAAAAGTGGGAGAAACCCATACTGACGACGCCTCCAAACCCAGCACAGCTGATTTGTTTACAGAATCACGCCAGTGAAATAATCCTGGTCCCGGGGGAGGTAAAAGTGTGTAGATGTGTTGCCACACCTGGCCCTCCGTCCAGTCTGCAGGGATCCCAGCTCCAATCAAATTACAAAGTTAAAACCATAAATAGGCCCAATGCTGAAGGCCACATCTGCTGAAGACCAGCTTTCCACCAGCAAATACACCTGGGTGGCCCAGGGACTCGGTGACAGCCTATCTCAGTGAAGCCCTTGCTTCAGTCCCCAGCACCGAAACAACAGTGACGACTACCACAACAAAATGTAACGTCTGTACCAGTCTAGCTAAAACCCAAATGGCGGCCATTCGTAATAATCCAAAATGAAAAATTACTTACCACATACCAGACATTCAGGGCTTTCCATACTCACGCAACAGGTGAGACAGGTAGGACCGTTCCCCCTCTACAGATGGGAAACTGAGGCACCAAGGAGTTAATGGAATGCAGCACTAGGTGGCAGGGTTTGTTCGAATGGAGGCCATGGCAGCTGCTATCCAGAGCAAGGCAGAGGGGCCAGCACAACCATCAGCACGTTTTGAGAACTCAGCAGTCACCTCTAGTGCCTTCATACGGGGCCTGAAAGGGTCTTCCCCGAGCAAAGTGCCACGGCACACGCCCTGCTTCCTGGTGTCCCTATGAATCACCAGGCTGAGTCCACCTGGTGGGTCTGTTTACAAGAGGGGAGGCCAGGGTTTTCTAGAGCCGGAGCACCTGTCCTGGGGCCAAGTTGGGTCACCCTGAGCTGCACAACTTGGGGAAGCAACTTTTCCAAGGCTCAGTGCTCCCACATAAAAAATGGGTAGACCGCAGTCCCAGCCATGAGTTTGTTTGGTGAGTTACGGTAATGGGGTGCTATTAACAGAACCACGATAATTGCTAGCGGGTTAAGTGATTTCAGTGATAACTTTCTTCAGCTGTAGTCTAAGATTCCGCTCACCATAAACAGTGCATAGGTGACAGTGGGGTTCAGGAAACACAAACCCCACCCCCTCAACCTTCCCCACAAAATTAGTGAACTCTGAGTTTCTTCATCTTAATCTCGTATTTGCAAAAGCTTTCAAGATTCTCAAAAGCATTTCATATTCACTGTTGATTAGCAAGTTAACCTTTCTAATAAGGATTTTCTAAAACTGACGTATCAACCGTTTTTTAAGGTTTTTTTAATGAGTTGGCGAGCTGGGTCATCACATGCCCCAGCCCCCAGGTCTTTGTACCCACAGGGATCCCTATGTGCTCCGGAGAAAGGGTCTCTTTCTCTCCAAATTAAAGAACAGGGTCAGGAGCAGAGTCGAGCCTTAGGGTCAGATTCCAGGGATCAGCCCATCAGCCCAGCTCTCCCTGTGAATTTGACTGTAAAGTAAGGCAAAGTTTACCTAGGAGAGTGACTTTCACCATTTCCTTTCTATTCCTTTCTATTTCTGGGCCGAATCTAAACTAGATCATGGTCAACATATGTCACCAACTTCCAAGAGTGGGAATAACAGGATTTGGGGATTCATAGCCTTCTGGCAAGGCTCCAAGGTTATTTTTAGCAATATTAAATTATCCTCTTTTCTTCCCCCCATTTTTCTATCCTCTTCCTTCCTTCCGTTCTTTCTTTTCTTCAAGATATAAAGAGAAGAGTCAGGTCAAAACGAAGTAAGGCTCCTACAGAAATCAAACTGCCCAGACCGCCCAGCCTACAGGCCACAAATGCTAAGCAAGCAGGTACCCTCGTAGCAGAAGGCACACTTTGGGGGCTCAGCGCCGGCATCTCACAAGTTCCCATGCGCGTTTTCCGACCACTCGGCCAGACAAAGACCGCAAGTTCCCCGGTCCATGGCTCCACACAGGCGGGGACCCAGGCTCCCCAAATTAGGCCCACTTCCATCCTAGGGCGCCTCGCACGCGCGGAGGAGTCCCTAGGTGTCCCTGGCGTGATCCCGGGTCCACCCGCAACGCCCCTGCCCCAGCTCGCGCCCCGGCTCCTGGGGCAGCGGCCGGACCCCGGGCCCTCCCCGGCCTGAGGCTGCAGGCCCACCCGCCCAGCGCGACCCCATCCCGGCTCAGCCGAAGGTGCGGCTCCGGCCCGAGTGGGCGCCGCGGAATCCGGCTCCGCGGCCCGAGCCGGGCTCTGATACCCACCCGGATCCCGCCGCCGGGGACCGGATTCGCGCCGGCTCCGGGAGCGGACAGCACCGCCGCGGTCGCCGCAGCCGCTGGCAGGAGGCGCGGCGGGGCGGGGCGGGGACACTCGCGAGGCCCGCCCCCGGGCCCTCCCCCATCCTCCCCGCCGCCCTCCCCCGAGGTCCCCGCGCTCCGGGCCACTGCCCAGTCCCTGGCCGCGCGCCCAAGCCTCCAGCCTCCGCCCCAGACCGGAGCGCCGCGCCCCAGGCGACCTCGGGGCTCTTAGTGCGCCCTCAGCCTCTCGGTGGCGCCCTCTGCGTTTACGTTTTTCGTGTTTGGGGGTGGAAGAAAGGACACCTGGAAGAAGGCCCTGGTGTCGCTTCTCCACCAGGGATTTCCTGCGGGACGCCTCGGGATACGACACCGAGCCACTCACGCCCCCCACGCTGCCTGCCACCCTCGGGCCCGTAGCAGTCTTGGGGGTCCCCAGGGTCACACAGTGCCAGACGCACGTAGTCACTGTTGTCTCCTTAATAGAAACTGAGACCAAGCGGGCGCAGCTCGGCCGCAAATAGCGATGGGAAAAGCACCGATGTGTGCTGAATCGTATTCACGGATTTCCCTGCTTTGCTCCACACGCACGGGAATAGCACAATGGCCGCGCGCCCGCCTGGGTCCCCACTGCCCGAAGTCCCCGCCCCTCCGGATGTTGACGGCGTCTCCTGGCAACGGGAGATGGCGCAGCAAGGCGACCCCGCTGGAGGGTAAGCCGGGACAAGGGGATAGTAGGTCTTGGGGCCGCCAGACCACGCTCTTCAGCCATCCGCGCCGAGATGACTAGAGCCATCGTCGTACCCTTCGCCTCCGTGACTCTTTCCTCCCGCTTTCTGGGACTTTTCAACCCCTTCCCGTCCACTGCCCCGCAACCCTCTCCCCTCTCCCCTCCTGTCCATTGGCCTTCCTCCCCCTCCCCCGTGCCATTCCCCTAGTCCAAAGGGCGCTTCTCCCACTAAGACCCCGGCTGACTGTCCCTGGGTAACCATGGCAAACGCGGAGCTTGGCTGTCCCAGCTGCAGAGCCGGCACAGGTCCGTGGGATGCTTCCCCGACCTTGCTCTGGCGACCCTGGACATTCGCAGGGTTCCGGATGCCCTAACCCTCCCCTTCCCAGCCTCCCTTTCCAGGCTTATGTGGCAGTGGTGGTGGTGGTGGTGGTGGTGGTGATAATGCCTAATGCCGGACACCGGCATGGCCAGCCCAGCAGCAGACACCCCAGGATGTACTTTTAAGTGCAGAGGTTGGCTAGTGAAGGATCCACGCCCCAGCTCGGGTTGGCTTTTTGCTTGTGTGAAAGGTAGAGAGGATTCTGAAGAATTTGATCTTTTTTTTTTTAATAACCCTAGACACTTCTATACTGTTTCATATTTTCTTTTAAAAAGGTAAGACTATAAGTACTGACAATGAAAGCAGACTTTACTCCAACTGTTACCCGCAAAGGTTGCCGGTCTTGGGAAGGAGAGGAGACTCACAGGGGTGATCCCTGCTGGTGTCACATGTATCTGTATTCCTTTGATGGGGGGGGTTAGCTTACATTTCGAATTTTTAAAAATACTGTAAATAACTTTCCCATACAGTGTAAGTAGTTGAGAAGTGTTGTAGTCAGGGATTGCAAAGAGAACAATTACATATAGGACAGGTAATTCACAGAAGAATTCTTTTATAATGATCACCCAAAGAGTCAAACACGAAGAGTGCAGGAATCTGTCCATACATTAAAGACCTAGAGAATCTAGCTGAGGGCCTAGATCCCATAGCAATGTCCTGCATGAGTCCAGCTGAAGACCTGGAGCCCATGACCGTGTCCCCATGAGTCTACCTGGAGGCCCAGAGCCCATGACAATGGCTCATGCAAGTCTGTTTCACCAATCTGCACTGGGAAGGCCCAAAGGTCAGCGGTGGAAGCTAGAAAGTCTGTGCCAGCGGAGTGAAGCATCTGTGCCAGCAGGCTGAGGGTTCTGCACTGGAGCCAGGAAGCGATGCTCAAAATAAGGATCAGAGCTTCCCAGAAAAGCGCCACAGCCATCCTCAGTGACAACAAGGTCCTGAGCTCCTCTGATGATGAGAACAGCTGAGTTCATGTCAGGGAAGAAGCTCAGCGAGCTCCCCCAGGAGAACCCACGGCAGCAGGAGAACCAACAGCACCAAACATCACCACTTAGGAGAATCCACTTCTCTTTTGATGCTGAAAGCAGCCCTCAGGTGGACCCTCTGCACTCAGCACGATGCTGACTCAGTTCACCTCAGTTTTTAACCCACCATAAGAAGCTAACGGAATCTCTGGAGCTTTGTCCTTGAGCTTCTTTCTTCTGTATTTCCTGTGCTCAGTTTTGTCCCAAATGCATTTTGGTTAAGATGACTTTTCTGGGATGATCTCATGGTGCTCTTCCCTTCATGTTTTGTTTTGTTTTTGTTTTTTAGATGTGTAGTTCAGGCTGGCTTTGGACTCACTACATAGTCCAGGCTGACCTCAAACTCAAAATGATCCTCCTGCCTCAGCCTCCCAAAGGCTAGGATTACAGGTGCGCATCACCACACTCACCTTTAATGTTTTAATAATTGTATTTTGATTCCTTCTTGGACTGAGCTTGTGACACCTGAGCCCCATGACAAGCACACTCTAGTGACAGGACAGAGACCTGCTGGCAAGGTCAAATCCTATCTAGTGATAGGACAAAGAATGAGTGAAAAGGGAATTCACAAGTGAACAAACTAGGGTGTAGAATTCTCGGGTAATGCACACTACTGTTCCCTCTGTGACTAGGCCTCCCCAGGAAGGCAGAGCGACTTTGGAAGGAGCAGAGGGGCCCAGCGATGAAGACCGTGCGGTAAGCCTCCCTAGAGGCAAGCGCTCTGGGCTTATGTTTGCAGGGAGGGGCAGGGGCGGGATTTGCTGGGCTCAGTTTCACAGTGACCAGCGTCAGGGATAGACAATGCCAGTGCCAAGAAACCTGTTTTCCTTCTGCCTCACTCCAAAGTGTGGGCAGTTAGTCAGGATATCAGGGAGAGCTACCTCAGCGCTCGGAGCTTCTTTCCTGCCACTGAGCATGGAAAGCATGATGCAGTCTCCTGCTGGGGATGAGAGAAGAGGTGCTTTTCCTACAATATCGCCCACTGCTAAGCGCAAAGCTCTCCTAACCCTTTTCCTTCGTGTGGACCCTGGGTCTTTTCTGCCCATTGTACAGGTGTCACCACTGGAGCACAGTGAGCGGAAGAGTGAAGAGGCCGTGGATGCCTCAGGCCCTTCTGCAAGAGAAATAGTGGGAGTAGAAGCAGAAGCAGCCCAGGATGGGGCCATTTTGGCTCCAGGGGAGGCTGCTGGTGAAGGGGACCCTGAATCCACCCAGAAGGAGGAAACCGAAGAATTTGGATCTGAGACAGACACTGTATCTCTTGAAGATCAAACAAGTTCAGAGCTCCTGCTTTCAGATGGTAGCCCTCAGGAAGTGCCAGGGGGTGACTCTGGCTCTGTGTCTCAGTACCAAGCTGGTGATGATTTCTCCCAAGAGGCCAGGCCACTGGAACCAAAAGTCTCTGGAGAACCACTGCAGTCCCTAGATCCAGATGCTTCAGGATCAACAGCAGACCCCTTGGTGAGTAGCCCTGGTTTCTGGGCAGGGCCCATATGATTCATTGCCTTCCATGGAGCTAACCCAAGTCCTCATCCCCACTCAGGATGTCTTAGCAGACATAAGCCTCAAAGTCTGCTCTGCAGTGTGGATAGGTCCTGCCCTCGCGCCATCTTCCCAGACCCAGGTCTGGTTGGTGGCATCATGTTGCCACCATCTGTGGAAGGGTCCTAGGTTACTTGTCTTGCAGAGCAGGTCAGCCCAGTCCAGTGGCACTGAGCCACCTGGAGTCACATGCTCATTTCAGGAATACTGGACATAAGGCTTTTGAGGAGAAGCTGAATTGTGAATTTTTTGAAAATTCATATAATTTATTTTAAATAGCCAGAGGTGACAAGTGTCCAATGTCCTGAGCAGTGCAGTTCTAGATCAAAATAGCGGGAGAAGAGTCAGGGTGATGGCATGTGCCTAAATTCCCAGGGGCTGGGAGGCCAAGGCAGGAGGGTGGCAGGTTTGAGGACTGTCTCAAAATAAAATCTTCAAAAAGGGCTGAGGATGGCTTGGTGGTGGAGCACTGCCTAGCATGTTGGATCTTAGCATCTGGATTCAATCTTCACACTACAAAAAAAAAGTAAAGTGTGTTGCTACATTACCAGCGAATGCAAGGGCTCCTTGATATTTCCCCAGATTTCCATTCATATAAACTGTTACAGTGATAGATCACATCTAGAGTCAGGCCTCTTTAGTCTCTCCTATTTCTCCTTGACTTTGCCCTTGACCCCTGTGAAGGTCACAGGCCAGTTTTTCTTGCTCTTGTGGTACTGAGGTTAAACCAAGGACTCAACGTGCTTTACCACTGAGGTACCCCCCCACCTCTCTTTGAGATAGGGTCTTGCTAAGCTACTCAGGCTGACCTTGAAATTCTGATCCTACTGCCTCAGCCCCCTGAATCGCTAGGATCACAAGTATGTGCCGCCATACCCAACCTGAGACCAGTGGTCTTGTAGAATGTCCCTTGCTTAGATTCCCCTGGTATTTCCCCTTGTGGTCCCCTGGTAGGCCCACCACAGAGGTGACGCAGAACCAACCCAGCCATGCAGGTTCCAGGGTGCCGCCCCTTTCCACATGGGTTTCCTTGCTCCAGTCTGAAGAGCTAGGCCTCCCCCTTGTGGAGTTCCTCTTTGCCTCTGTGTCCTTAGTGATGATTTCTTGGGAAGGTACATGTTTTTGTTTAAAAGGGGTAAGTGAAGGGGAGAATCTAAATGATCTAGTTTACATAATTTTAATCAATGAAAACTTTCTAGACACATGGAAAGAAGAAATAAGTAAGCATTATTCAGAATGAAAAAAATCCCAACAGATTACTACCGTTTATTTAGGTCTTCTTTCTATTTCGTAATGTCCACTGGTGCTAAGCATCTTTTGCCGGATTTGTCCCTATGTATAGCTCACTTTTTGATGCTGGTGTGAATGATTTCCAGTTCTCAGTTACTGGTTTACAGAAATGCAATAGTTTGTTATATTCTCCGGCACTACTAACCTCCTTTGTTAGTTAGGATAGCTGGCTTGGAGAATCCATGTGCTTTCTAATAAAAAATGATTGTTTCATCTAAAAAATAAAAAGATGATTAACTTGTTCCTTTCCAATCTGCAGCACTTTTTCTTTTTCCTGCCTGCTTACACTGGCTAGACCCTTGAGCACAAAGCTGAATAGAAAAATGAGGGGCGTGACAGCTTGTCTTGCTTATTTGTTTACATGTTTATATTAAGTATTTTATTTACTGGGCCCCCCAGCTGCATCAGCTCTCGAGGCAGCTCACAGTGGCAGGAGCGTGTGCAGGAGGAAGCAGGAAGGGGCAAGCTCGCCCCAGCAGAACTCAGGACTCAGGACTCAGACCCCTACTGACCAGAAAACCCCTCAAATTTTAAAGCTTCTGCCACATCTTGAAAGTGTCACCTGGGGGACCTGGCTCTACTCACAAGAGTTTTGGAGACCACAGTTAAGCCATATACAAACCACAGCAGCCCTCACCAATCAACCTCAGTTGTTCTTGCCACAGAGATCCCAGAGAAACTCACTGGAGAAAGCCTTTCCCGTGGACTTACAGCAAGGCTTCAGACTGGACCGAGGGAGCAGCATGGCGCCCTCAGATGAGGAAGAGCTCTCCCTGAGCCCACAGGAACCCTTTGAGCAAGGTACCTGCACACCTGTCCACCAGGGCAAGCCATTGTCACATCCCTTTCAGTGCAGGTGGGCTGCCCACTTGACACCTGCAGCCTTGTTAGCTTTAGGGCCTCATATTCCTCAGCTTTCCCACTGCTGGACACAATGCCCAACACCCGTAACTCAAAGGAGGTGTGGTTTAATTTAGCTTATAGTCTCAAAGGATTCAGTCCATGGTCACCTGTCTCCAAGGCAGGGCCATCATGGGGGAGGGCGTGGTGAGGCCCAGCTGCTTAGTTCACGGCAGCTGGAAGGCCCCACCAAAAGGAAGGGGTGGAGGACCGGACCCAGACCCAAAGCCAGGCCTCCACACTTCACCCAGTCACACCCGGGAGTGTGTCTGCCGTCCCCTGCAGAGCTCCCAAGACAGTCAAGTTGACAGTCAGGCTGCCCTGTGGTAGGCTGTGAGGCTAAAATGACAATGGATGCGATTTAGTCTCTTCTGCACCACTTCTACCCACAGTGAAGTAGAAGCCATTCTCCTCCATAAAGACGAGGGCCAGAGAGCCATGCATAACTTACCAAGCAAACAATCTTAGTCCTTTTTTCATGAGCCTCTCTTCCTTTCCCATCTACAGGAAGAATTTATAGGAAGAGTGTCTAAGGACACACTGGCTGGCTTCCTGTCTGCCTTTAAAATGTGATTCTTTCTATGGCATACACTGAAAGGCCCTACAGAGAGACCATAAAAAACTTCCAAGGCTGATTCCTTTTTTCCTGCAGTACTGTGGATGGAACCCACGGCCTTTGCACTGAGCTACATTCCCTCCCCTACCCTTTTTTTTGGACACGTGGTCTCCCTGAATTGCTTAGTTGTGCAGGGTGAGCTGAAACTTGCAACTGTCCTGCCTCAGTCTCCCAGAATACTGGGAGGCATCTGCCACCTTGCCTGGCAGCCTCCCTGTTTGGGTGACTTTTCTTTCTCTTTGTCCTCATGTGGCATGAGAGTGGGAGCACTTTTGCTGCCAGCTCCCCGGGGAGCCAGTGATCAGGTACTCTGCTAACTCCTCGGTGACATCTACTCTGTCCCTTTGGTGTCCTCAGAGGACTCTGAAGCCCACTCTCGGGAGGCAGTGTTGCTGGACCAGGCCCAAGAGTTAAGCCCTGAAGAAGGGACTTCGGTGGAGAGACTGGAGTCCGAGAGTGACGAGGCGGAGGATGAGGGATCCCAGCTGGTGGTTTTGGACCCAGACCACGTAAGACAGTGCTGCGTTCGCTACTCGGGCCCTTTTCTGCTCTCTGAACCCCCACACTGTGTTCCTGTCCACTGCCCACTGCATGTATGCCTCTTGTTTGTAAAGTGTATTCTTTTACGTTGAAACACCCTTTTACATTGCTCAACCTCAGCTTTGCTGACATTTGAGGCCAGATTAGTCTCTGGCAGGGCCATCCTAGACTTTGTAGGACACTGGGCAGCACCCATGGGCTCCACCCATGATATGCCTGTAGCAGCTTCTCCTTTGCAGTGACAACCACAGTTGTCTCCGAACCTTGTCAAATGTTGAGGGTGGATGGGGCCGCTGCCTTGAGTTACCAACCAGGCTGCAGTTTCTTGTCCTAGCCTTGGCAAGTAGCAAAGGCAGGTCTTGGTTGGAGCTGCCCGTTAGGAAAGCTGTGTGCTTCTGGTGGTATGGGAAGGAGCCCCAGCCACTGTTCTGGGTGCCTATTCGATGCCGACACCCCAGCCAGTGCTCACCACCACACTCAGAGCCCTGGTAAAATTCAGATACCCAACTAGTTCATGTCCTTTTGACAAACTATACACTTAGCTCTGCAGTGCCCGGGGTGATGGAACCTTGAGGTGCCTTGAATTGGTGCCTCAAAGAGGAGGCCTCTCGGGCAGAAGTAGGGAGCACCCAGTGTGGGCATTGCCTCTGCATCCCTTCACTCATGTGCCGCTGTACATGGGCTCGCCCCTAGGCAGGTCCGGAGTAACCACGTGGTTTTCTGTTGCTGTAGCCCCTGATGGTCAGATTCCAGGCGGCCCTGAAGAGCTTCCTGAACCGCCAGATAGACAAGCTGAAGCTGGAGCTTCAGGAGTTGGTGCGTATGGGCTCCATTGTCTCCCTACCAGCGTGGGCATAGTCTGTCCACTGAACCTGCTTCTCTCTCTCTGGTGCAGGAGGTGGCCAACAAGCAACGCCGAGCCCAGCGTCAGGAGCTGGGTGTGAATCTCTATGGGGTCCAGCAGCACCTGGCTCGCCTGCAGATGCAGCTAGGGAAGAGCCAGGACCAGCACTCCATCGTCGCCAGCGAGAGGCGACAGAAGGAAGAGGAGCTGCAGGAGGTGCGCGCGCTCTACAACAAGACCTGGACAGCCGCCAACGAGGAGCAGAAGAAACGTAAGAAAGCCAGCGACCCGGGCGTCGCTCCCTGCAGTGTGCAGCACCCCACTCCGTGTGTCCCTGTGCTGTTGTGGGTCACTGAGCAAAGCAAAATGTGTATCTGTCCTGGAAGGGTTCTGTTTTCTGGGAAAGGAAGTCCTGTAAATATCTTAAAATGCATTTACTTGGATAACACAGCAAATCCAAAACCCATCACAGTAACAGTCTGGTGTAGACACAAAACCCCGAGCGGGTGGCATGGAAGGTCTGAGCAAGTGCAAAGAGAGCACAGTGCAGGGTGTGCAGTGGTCTGGGGCAGCACAAGAGGCCACGCTGAGGCTCACAAAGGCTGGGCCCGAGGCCCCAGCCCAGCAGTGTCATGGGAAAGAGGTAGCTTGGGTGGGGAGGCTGAGGAGCTGCCCCACACTGTGAGCAGCAGCTTCACCGAAGCTGCCACATTGTTGGAGCCAGAGCACAGAGCAGTGTGGGGCTTGGGGGTGTTTCCTCCTGCGGCTGGCTTCCCGGAGATGTCAGGCCTGCTGTGTTTTGATGTTTCCTCATCGACTCTACTACCAACACCAGAGAAAAATACTCTAAAGCAACCTGGAAGCAAACAGAATCAGATGTGTATCCTGCTGTCCTGGAAAAGGGCACAGCCGACCCTGAGAAATGCAGCAGAAGGTTTGAATTTTTCTGGGTTCATTTTCTTGCTGCTGTAATCGAACATTACCGGGCCCTCAGAGATGAGCAGGAGTTTGTCCTGTGCATAGTCCCCACAGAGTGGGGAGTGTGTGGCAGCCTCTCATAGCTAAGGGCAAGAAGAGAGAGGTGGGGCTCACAGCCCGGAACCCTCTCCTAACTGGTGACTGCCTCCTAAAGGTGGACCCCAGTGGCCTGAGCACTGCTGTGTTAGAAAGTAAGTCTTCAGGACAGACTTTTTTCCCCAGGTGTGCACAGGATTGGGCAGGATTGGAAGCTGTCGGCCAGGGAGGGATGGTGGCAGTTAGCACTGAGTCTCCTTTCTCAGTTCCAAGGACCTCACTCATGGTCAGCACCCACCTTGGGGGCTGCTGCTACTGCCCTGTACCTTAGGTGACACCTGGCACTCCACCTCTCAAGAATGTCATGGTCACCTACCTCACCAGGAGGGAGGCAGAGCCTTGACATCAAAATGGGGGTTACCAGAGCGCCCTTGGGCTCCGCAGGCAGAGCAGCAGGCTTGAGTGGGGAATGCCAGTGGGTGTCTGCATGAGATCTCGGGGACACTGCCTTGTAAATGAGGACGACAGTGAGGAAGGACACCTGGAGTTAAAAACACAGTCTCCTCCCCCACCCTCCGAAGATGATAGAGCAGGCCAGTGAATACTGGTGAAGATGGGACTTGTGGCTGAAAAGCTGCAAGGAATCCTCAGAACAGCAACCCCCAAAAGATGGATGTTTTGTGAAGGAAATGGGGACGAGGCTATGAAGATCCTTGTCATCAGACAGCCTCCATAGGGAGGAGTGACATGTAAGGACATGGCAGGATGTCAGAAAGCACAGGCCTTAGGCTGGCAGGACTCATGGTGGGCAGCCAGAGTTTAAAGTGGGCACATGTGCACACAGCTGGTGAGGACTCCACATTCTGAGGGCAAAGGAAGACCCGCTGCAGGCTGTGGGCAGGAGGAGCCTCAGTGTGGCCAAGGCAGCAGATGCAGGCTGCGCTGAAACCTGGGCTCCACCGGCTGCCCTGAGGATATGAGCCAGTCTGGACCTCTGCTTCACCTGGAGAAGGCAAGGCACCCTTTGTTTTGGTTTGTTTTTGTCATGGTGCTTTTTCTGCAATCCTAACGTGTTGACTAGAACCAGAGTCTCATTAAAGATATGCGATCTCCCAGCTCATCTTCCAGGATCAACTAAAAAAACCTTGCATCTCATGGAATAACAACTTTTGCAATGAGATTTCAATATTTCAGCATAACATTGTGAACCATGACATTTTGGAATAAAATTATAGTCGGCATATATTAAATATTAATATTATCATTATGAGAGCCACAGAGAGATTGTTTGGGAAACAATTCTTGCAACATGAGTCTAAAATCTTGAGAATTGATGGTTATTGTGTGCAACTTGCTATCTTAAAATTGCATTAATAATACACAGGTGTGGCACACAGAGGTGAAAGACAGTGATGTGGGCAAAGGTCAGTGTCATAAGTGGTCTTTGCAGTACATGAAACAGTTTGCAAAGCACATTTGACCTCACTTTAAACAAGGAGGACTGTGTCTAGTGGTGTTGCGTTTCTGGTCTTTTTCTAGAATTCAAAGACATGAAACTAATGCTCAAAAAAAAAATGGGAAGGAAATTTTCTAATTCCTCTTTTTTTTTTAACACAGCAGCAAAGTTCTCTGTATTTACTGAAAGTATTCATGTTTGAATGGAATTAAGTACTGGTGATGTGGCTGGTCTCTGACTGAATATTGCATGTTGGCGTTGCTACATTTCCCCTTCTGGATCTGACCGCTGCTTCCTTTCTTTTCTTGTAAAGTCGTTGTGTAGATCTCTGCTGTACAAATCCAGGGATCAATGAGAACATTTACGTGGAGTCAGAAATTCTCAAATTGTTCTAAGCATTGAGCTTATCAGGAGCTTGATGCAAATGGACATTCTCGTTCCACGCCTCCGAAATTCTGACCCAGTAGGTCTAGAACAGCACGCTTTATCTTTTCCACGAGGCAGTGTTGATGTTGCTGACTCTTCTTTGAGAGCAGCTTTGAAGGCTCAGGCGGTTCTTGCTTTGTCCTGCCTGCCTCACCCTCTCCTGTTCAACTCCATCGCCTTCAGGTCCCACCTGGCTGGACAGTTCCAACTGGAAAGGTTCTCTGAGTCCCCAGAGCAGTTATTTATTTGATGAAACCTTTTGAATGTTGTGTATTATTAATATATTACAGTGCAATATTATTACATTTTAAATGAAACAACATAATCAGATATGCCTCCCTATGTTCTGTTGTTTGCTTCTTTTTTTTTTTTTTTTTTGCCTCGGTAATTTTTTTTAAAAACACTGATTTGTCATTTGGAAATATTGTGATTCAAAAATCTAAGTTTCAGAGCTGGGTGTGGTAGTGCACACCTATAATCCCAGCAGTCGGGAGGCTGAGGCAGGAGGATCATTGCAAGTTCAAGACCAGCCTGGGCTACAAAGTGAATTCTAGGCCAGCCTGAACTGCGTAGTGAAGAGACCTTGCCTCAAAAAGACAAAAGAAAAAAAATCTACTTTTCGGTTCAATTTATTTCAATACTGACTTTAGTAGTTGTTGTCCCTGGAAACATGTGGAATATCATAAGTTCAAGAGAATTATGTCCTGGAGGGCAGGCTTTTAGTAAAGTACGCTACCAATTTGGCAGTGCGATCCACCAACTTGGATAAAAGACTGCAGGCATTTTGTTGAAACTTCATAAAGTGTTTCCTGCTCTGACCAATCTATTCGCACAAGTTCATCATGAACATCTGCATTTTTTAAAAAACAGGTGACATATTCATGTATGCATATGTAATATATTCAGGAGCAAAAACAACACAGTCCCCCTGCGGCTTCCTTCTGGGTCACTGTTTCCATCTCCTCGGAGACGGCCAGTTCTTCCCCCGTGTGGGCATTTAGAGCAGGTGTAAGCTGTTATCTTAGCACAGCACTGAGTGAGGAAGGATGTGCTTGTCCCGTGGCTCACTCCTCCACCTGTTCCACTAGCCTCTGCTTCATATTATGGCCGTAGTTACAACACTATGGGCCATGGGCCGAAGGACGTTCAGTACCGCTCCTCTTTCCTTGCACAATCCATTCAGTTCTTGTTTTTAAAGTCTCCAGCTGCTAGGAATGCAGGGAGCTTGTGCTGGTCTCGATACACAGCAGCAATCTGCTTGGGTCTGGCCTTTGGGAGGCTAAACAGCTGACCTCCTCTGTCCTAGCAGCTTTGGCCATCTTGCAGCTGTCCCTAATAATCATAATGGTTGTTTCCAGATAAACGTCAAATGTAGACAGCTTAACACCATTTGCAGTGTTATCAAGGCAAATGTGTTGGTTAAAGTCGTGCAACTAAAGTCATACTAACTGCGGAAGTAGAAGCTCCACATTTTGGAAGCTTAATATGACAGTTTATGTGATTCCTGCTGGGTAGCAATCTCTCATCATGGTCTCCAGTTCGACACAGGAGTCATTTCCTTCAGTTTATGAGCTTCCTATGGTTTCAGGATTGCATGTTTGGTGAAATGTCTTTCTTGTGCCTTCACACCCTGCAGTCTATTAAGGTTCCAAATTCGTAGGCCTTTTCTACAGCCAAGAATGCCTGTCAGAGGCACAAGTCACAGAGTATCTCCTTCAAATCCTCGTTGTCTAGGAAGGAAGGGTCTTCATCTAGCCAAAGTGGTTTTTTTGGTGTATCCTTAACTGGTGGGGAAAGGGGTATCAAGAGATGAAGGAAGCTGGGGATTTAGCTCAGTGGCATAAGCACCTGCCTGGCAAGCACAAGGTTACGAGTTCAATTCCCAGTACCAAAAAAAAAAAAAAAAAAAAAAGAGAGAGAGAGAGAGAGGTGGAAGAAGGGGAGGGAGATGGGGGATGAATAAAGGAGTTGGGGTGCGTTATGCACGTGTACCAAATTCCCGCAGAGAATATAAACAGTAAGCACTACACACATACACTACTAAACTAGAAGTTTCAACGTCCCATTGTGGATCTTGATTAGAATTGTACTAGATGTACTTTTAATTTGGAGAGAAATTATGCTTTTGTATGATGAACCTTCTGGTGCAGGCTGTTCTATTTATTTATATTTGTTCTGTGTCCTGATATGAGGTTAGATTGTTTTTCTCGATTGCTTCTTCCCAGGCTTGATCCTGTGAATCCTACAGCTGTTTTCTCAAGTTGTTACAGCAACTGTGGATGAGACTTTTTTAAAAATTACAATTCTTTTTTTTTTTTTTTGTCTTTTTCATTTTTATTGGTACCGGGGATCGAACTCACGACCACCTGCTTGCA